TCCTTTTGCTAGTAACCACCCTTTTGATACCTATTGAATTTGTTGTTCATAAAACCTATTCTTCACTAGAATTTGGGTCCTGCATGCTGTACCAGTCACAATTTTGAGGGAGAGACTCAAGTGTAGAGCCTTACAATTTAATTTGTGTCATATTTATCAATAAATGTTAAATTCCTTATGATACAACAAATATAATTTGGCTCTTTAATCAGTTATAATGTCATATGGCATACCCATAAGTTAATGTGACTGACAGGGGGTTAAGAACCTGGTGCATTTTATTTAACAAACACTTTATATAGTATTTAATATATGCCAGCTACTGTTCTAGGTGCTTTACATATATCAACTCATATAATTCTCATAACAAACCTGTGTAGTAAGTACTATAATTATCCTCAGGTAAGGAAATTGAGGCGTGGAGAAGTTAAGTAACTCTTTCAAGGTCAAATAGTAAGTACTAAAGCCAGGATTAGACCGGGGCTATCTAATTTTAGAACCTGTATTCATACTCATTATGCCCTGTTCCCAAAATTTTTGGTTACATAGATTGTTGTGGCTTTTTTTTTTTTTTTTTTTTTAGACAGGGTCTCGCTCTCTCACCTAGGCTGGAGTACAGTGACAGTGACCACTGCAACCTCCACCTCCCAGGGTCAAGCGATCCTCCTGCTTCAGCACCCCCACACCAGGCAACATAACAAGACCTCCATCTCTACAAAGAATTGTCAGGGTATGGTGACCCATGCATGTAGTCCCAGCTACTTGGGAAGCTGAGGTGGGATGATCGCTTGAGCCCAGGAGTTTGAGGCTGCAGTGGGCCATAACTGTATCATTGCACTCCAGCCTGGGCAACAGAGTGAGATCCTATCTCAGAAAAAAACAAAAACAAAAAAACATGGCTGCAGTGGGCCGTGTTTGTGTGGGTCTGTTTCTAGGCTGTTGATTCTGTTCCACTGATCTTAAGTGTCTATCGTCTCACCAATACTAGATTATGTTGATTAATCTAGCTTTATAGTACAACTTAAAATCAGGTAGTTTCATTCTTCAACCTTATTTTTCTTTTTCAAACATTTTGATTTTTCTAATAATTTAAATTTCTATATTAATTTTAGAATAAGCTTGCTGTATTTTAAAATTTAAAATTATAATTTGTATAATTTTTTTTTTTTTTTTTTTTGAGACAGAGTCTCGCTCTGTCGCCCAGGCTGGAGTGCAGTGGCCGGATCTCAGCTCACTGCAAGCTCCACTTCCCGGGTTTACGCCATTCTCCTGCCTCAGCCTCCCGAGTAGCTGGGACTACAGGCACCCGCCACCTCGCCCGGCTAGTTTTTTGTATTTTTTAGTAGAGACGGGGTTTCACCGTGTTAGCCAGGATGGTCTCGATCTCCTGACCTTGTGATCCACCCGTAAAATTTTATTAATTTTAGAATCAGCTTGCTATATTTTAAAATTTTGTTTTGTGAGTTCTGTTGAGATATTTAGTGGAATTGAATTAAACCATAGATTAGTTTGATGGGTTGAGTCTTCAGTTTTCTTTCCTTCCAGAGATTGGAGTCTTGCTATGTTACCCAGGCTGCAGTGCAGTGGCTATTCACAGGCATGATCCTGCTACTGATCAGCATGGGAATTGTGACCTGCTCCCTTTTTTACCTGGGCTGGTCCACCCCTCCTTAGGCAACCTGGAGTACCCCCCTCAGGAGGTCACCATATTGATGGCAAACTTAGTGCCAACACCCAAGCAGCATAGCGAACTACAGCCCAGAGCTCCTGGGCTCAAGCACTTCTCCTTCCTCAGACTCCTGAGTACCTGGTATTTTTCCAGTTCTAAACATAGTATATCTCTCCATTTATTTATAGTTAGATCTTCTTTGATTGCTTTCATTAATGTTTTGTAGTTTTCAGCATACATATTCTATTAATGTTTTGTTAAATTTGTACCTTAGTATTTCAATATTTTTGGAGCTATTGTAAATGGTATTGTTTAAAAAATACTAGTTTCCAGTTGTTCATTGCTGGTATATGGATGTAAAATATTGTGTGTGTGTTTACCTTTTGTCCTGTGACTTTACTAAAGTCAGTTCTAGGAGTTTTTTTAAAATCACTTATTTGGTTTTCTATGTAAACAATCATGTCATCTGCAAATAGACATTTTTATTTCTTCCTTCCCTATCAGTATGTCTTTTATCTTCTTGCCTTATTACACTGAATAAAATTCCAATATAATGTCAAATAGCAATGGTGAGTGAAGACATTCTTACCTTGTTCCTGACCTTAAGGGGTAGAATTCAGTCTTTCACCACATGTAATATGATATTAGATGTTGGCTTTTTGTACATAACCTTTATGAGGTTGTGGAAATCCCCTTCTACCCTCGTCTGCTGAGAATTTTTTTTTTTTTTAATCTGAATGGATGTTGAAATCTGTCAAATTTTCTTCCTTTCCTTTCCTTTCCTTTCTCTCTCCTTCCTTCCTTTCTTCTTTCTTTCTTTTTTCTTTTTTTTTTTTTTTTGATGGAGTCTCACTCTGTCACCCAGGCTGGAGTGCAGTGGCACAATCTTGGCTCACTGCACCCTCCACCTCCGAGGTTCAAGCAATTCTGCTTCATCCTTCTGAGTAGCTGGGACTACAGGCATGCGCCACCACACCTGGCTAATTTTTGTATTTTTTGTAGAGATAGGGTTTCACCATGTTGGCCAGACTGGTCTCAAACTCCTGACCTCAGGTGATCTGCCCACCTTAGCCTCCCAAAGTGCTGGGATTACAGGCATGAGCCACCAAGACTGACCTGTTAAATGCTTTTTATGTATCAAATGACATGATCATGTAGCTTTTCCTCTTTAGTAATATGGTGGATTACATTGATTGATCTTTAGAATATTGATCCAGCTTTGCATTTTCAAGATAAACCTCATTTTGGCATGGTATATAATATTTTTATATACTGCTGGATTCAATTTGTTAATATTTTGTTGAAGATTTTTGTGTCAAAATCCAAGGCAGATATTGGTGTATAGTTTTTTTCTTGTCCTGTCTTTGTCTGGCTTTGGTATCAGAACAATGCTGGTTTTATAAAAATAAATTGGTAAATGTTCCCTCCTCTTCTAATTTCTGGAGAGAATTTGTGTAGAATTGGTATTAATTCACCTTTAAATGATTGATAGAATTTGACAGTGTAACCATCTGGGCTTGGAAAAATTTTTTGAGAGGTTTTAAACTAAATTCAATTTCTTTACAGGTATAGGATTCATCAGGTTATTTAAATTTGCTTATGTGAGCTTTGGTGGTTTGATTTTGAGGAATTAGTCTATTTCACATAAGTTGTCATATTTATATGTGTTGAGTTGTTCATAGTATTTCCTTATTTTTAGAATACCATTGCATTTGTAGTGATATCTTCTCTTTCATTCCTGATATGGTAAGTTGTGTCTTTTCTTTGTAATCTTGCAAGAGATTTGTGAATTTCACTGGTCTTAAAGAACTAGTTTTTTGTTTCATTAATTTTTCTCTATTGATTTTCTGTCTTCAATTTCATTCATTTCTGCTCCTAGCTTTTAAAAATTTTCTTCCTTCTGCTTGATTTGGGTTTATTTTATTATTATTAACTTTTTAGCTTCTTAAAGATCAGTGACATGAGACCTTTCTTCTTTTTTAATGTCAATATTTCATGTTATAAATATAAATTTCCCTCTAAGCATTGCTTTAGCTGAATCCCATTCCACAAATTTTCATATGTTGTGTTTTCATTTTCATTCAGTTCAAAATATTTTTTCCTTTTGGCTTCCTCTTTGACCCATGGATTACTTAGAAGTATAATGTTTATAAATGTTTGGAGATTTTACTTTTATTTCTAAGTTTATTGTATTATGACTGGAGAGCATATTTTATATGATTTCAATTCTTTTTTAGGCTGGATTATGTTTTGATGAATGTGCCATGTACATTTAAAAGAGTATGTATTCTGCTATTGTTGAATGGAGTATTTTATAAATATCTATTAGGTACAGTTGGGTTGATGGTATGGTTCAATTTTTCTATATTTTTGCTGATTTTCTGTTTACTACTTCCATCCATCCCTGAGAGAGGAGTACTGGTGTTTCCAAATATAATTGTGGATTTGTCTGTTTCTCTTTTCAGTTCTATCAGGTTATGATTCACACATCTTATAATGCCCTTCTTTATCTCCAGTAATTTTCTTTGCTCTGAAGTCTACTTTGTCTGATATTAATATAACTATTCTCGCTTCCTTTTGGTTAGTGTTCGCATGGCATATATTTTTCTATTTTTAACATACCTATAAAAATGTATTTTGAATTGAGTTCTTTTTTACAACACATACATAGCTCAGTCATGTTTTTGCATACATTTTACCAGTCTGTTTTAGTGGGTATATTTAGGTTTTTTCTCATGTAATGTAATAATTGATATATTCAGATTTAGGCCTGCCATTTTATTTATTTGTTTTCTATTTGTTTCCTTTTATTTTCTTTCATGTATCTGTTTTCTCTTTCCTACCTTCTTTTGGGGTGTTTGTATATGTTTTAAAATTCCATATTTTTGTTAGTTTTTGACTATATGTTCTTTTTAAAAAAGTTTTTAATGATTGAGATCAAAATATAAATATTTAATTTTACACAACCTACTTAGAATCAATATTTTAACACTTCAAGGGGGATATAGAAATGTTATAATCATTTAGCTCCCATTACCTTTCCCTCTTTATGTTGTAGTTGTCTTATGTATTGCATTTACATACACTGAAAACCCCATTAATGTTATCAGTTCTGCTTTCAAACATGAAACAAATTTTAAGGAACTTAAGAGGTGAATTGTTTATTTTATTTACCATTTCTGTTTTTCCTTCTTTATTCCTTGTTTTTGTTTTGTTTTGTTTTGTTTTGTTTAGAGTCAGGGTCTTGCTCTGTCACCAAGGCTGGAGAGCAGTGGCACAATCATAGCCCACTGTAACCTCAAATTCCTGGACTAGAAGTGATCCTCCTACCTCAGCTTCCAAGTTGCTAAGACTACCACCATGTCTGGCTCCTTCTTTATTCTTGATGTTTCAGGTTACCTTATGATGTCATTTCCGTCTGTCTGAAGAAGCTCCATTCGTAATTCTTTAGAGCAGGTATGCTGACAACAAATTATCTTTGTTTTCCTCCCCCAAAAATGTGTTTATTTCAAATTTAATCATGAAGGATATTTGTGCTAAATATAGAATTCTGGGTTGACAGGTTTTTATTTTTAGCTCTTTAAGTTGTTCTACTTCATTCCATCCTCCATGGTTTCTGATGAGAAATCTACAGACATTCACGTTGTTTTTCCCCTGTAAATAATGTATCATTTTTTTCTACCGGCTTTCAATAATTTTTCTTGTTTCAGTTTTTAGCAGTTTGATTATGATGTGTTTGGGCATGAATTTCTTTGGTTATACCCTGTTTAGTGTTCTCTGAGTTTCTTGAATCTGTAAGTTATGTTTTTCACCAAATTTAAGAAATTTTTATTCTTTCAAATATTCGTTACTACATTGTATTCTTTCCTCTCTTCTTCTGGATCTCCAATATCATAAATGCTAGATCTTTTGGTATTGTCCCACCAGTCCCTCAGGCACAGCTTTTTTTCCTCAATATTTTTTCTCTCCATTGTTCACATTGGATAATTTCTGTTGCCTCATCTTCAAATTCACTGACTATTTCCTCTCTCATCTCCATTCTGTAATTGAGCCCATACAATTAGTTCTTTATTTGTTATATTTTTTAGTTCTGAATTTCAATTTGTTTTTTTTAAATTATTTTTTGCATTTCTTTCAGGAACTTTTTTATCTTACGATCTGGTACACTTTTCTAATAACTGTTTTAAAGCTATAGTCAGCTAATTCCAGCATCTGTAGCATCCTGGCATTGTCTCTATTGTCTTTTCTTATGTGAGTTGAGATTTTCCTGGTTCTCTTACACTGAATAGTTTTGAATTTTATCCCAGACATTTAATATATTATAAGACTCTGGGTTTTGTTTAAATCATATGGAGAATACTGATATTTTTGTTTTAGCAGGCAATAGATCTGTTTTGGTTCAAGCCAAAAGTTCCAACCAACCTTCTGTCAGTTGTAGTTTCAATGTCAATTCCATTTTCAAAAAGAATATTTTGCTTTCCATGCTATTTAGATCTATCCTCTATGTGTACTACCAGTCAGTAGTGGTAGGGTGATGGAATTGTGTGTCCTTTAGTTCAGTCTCAAAGTCTCTTTGGTACCTATGCTGTTTGCGATCAGATCCATCCTTGTGCAACTTGAAGGTGAGTCTAGGAGGTTATAATCAACTTAACTACTACTTCCCTGAGTTCCTCCCTCTTCATGGTCTCTAGTACTTTCTTATTCCTAGGACTTCCTCTTTCAGTCCCACAGCCAGAAATCTAGTGCTTTAGTTACCCTACGGTGGTATGTACTTTCTGAGACTACACTATATCCAGGGCTCAGCAGTGGAAGGACAGAGAGGAAAAAATCAACTGGTGTTTATCCCACCCTCCTGAGGCCCCAACTTCTCCACAGAAGAAGGTTGCCCTCCCTCAAAGATATTCGAGCCTGTGGCCACCTGCTGACATTGCAGTCATTACCACTGCTTGGTTAGCAGGATTTCTAGGGGCTTGGGGCACTAGAGAATGGAGAACAAAAGAAAAGAAATTAGCAGATTTCTCCCACACTCTCTGGGTATTAGGAGATACTTTTCCTGCTCCTTGAGCCAGAACTAGAGGGCTTGTCCTGGGGCTCTGTCTGTCTGTGTCTATTCTGAGTTTCACATTGCCTTATTTCTAGACTGAGGTTCTGATAGGGAAAAAACAAAAACAGAAAACTCACTGCTTGTTCAGTAGTACTTTAAATTCTAGTCTTTTTCCCCAATTCACTTGCTACTTTTTATCTTCCAGTGTCCTCAAGTAGCTGCTTCATGCATTCTATCTAGGTTTTATAACTATATTTAATGATAAAGACAGGGTGGGCTGGGCGCAGTGGCTCACGCCTGTAATCCCAACAGTTTAGAAGGCCGAGGTGGTCGGATCACCTGAGGTCAGAAGTTCAAGACTAGCCTGGTCAACATGGTGAAACCCAGTCTCTACTAAAAATACAACAATTAACTGGGCGCGATGGTACACACCTGTAGCCTCAGATTGTGCCACTGCAGTCCATCCTGGGTGACAGAGTGAGACTCTGTCTCAAAAAAAAAAAAGACAGGATGGAGTGTGCTTACTCCATCTTACCTAGAGCTGGAATGGAACATTGTTTTTAAATGGCTGTTATGGATTGAATGTTTTTGTCTCCTTAAAATGCACAAGTTGAAGCCCTAACCCTGAATGTAATGGTATTTAGCAATGGGGCCTTTGGGAGGCAATTAGGATTAGATGAGGTCATTAGAGTGGGGCATCATGATGGGATTAATGCCCTTATAAGTGGAGACATCAGAGAGCTCATTCATATTCTCTCTCTCTCTCTCTCTCTCTCTCTCTCTCTCCCGCCCCTCCTTTTTGTGAAGACATAGAAAGAAGGCAGCTGTCTACAAGCCAGAAAGAGAGGCTTCACCAGGAATTAAATCAGCTGGCACCTTGATTCGGGACTTCCCAGCCTCTCAAACTGTGAGAAAGTAGATTTCTGCTGTTTTCGCCATCCAGTCTATGGTATTTTGTTTTGGCACCTTGAGCAGACGAAGACAATTGCCAACATATTTATGAAAAAATTCTTGGTACTACATATTGCGTCATTCTTCCCAAATCAATCACTACTTTTCCTCATAATTCTACCTGTACATGTTTTCTTCAAGATTTATAACAAATTATACTTAGCTGAATTTCTAGACAGAAATAGAAACAAATCCCCCAAAACTAGATGGGTAGCTTTAGAGATCCAATAATTCTGTGTCATGTAGTTGTAACACTTCAAATATATATATTTTGATATGTCTTTTTTGAATTAACTTATTGCTTAATTGTTTGGTCTTCAGTCACCTTGACTAAATTTGCCTGATGTTTCTCTGTAAATAATCTCAAGGCTAGGTGACCTAGGTCCTGTTTGGGCCAATTATTTTTATTTTTATCTCTGAGAAGCTTGCCTCAAAGAGAACTTTTGGTTAGGAGCCAACAGTCCATTTCTTTCACATACATCCTGTTAAACTATAAGACATGAGGATCGTATTGAATAAATATAAATTAGTAGAAGGAAGATAAAGCAATTTGCTTGTCTGCTGCAGATAGTAGTTTTAAATAAATTTTTACCCAATAATAAACCGAACATGAGTAATTCTTGACGATCAAAAGAGAAGGACAAGTCCTTATAATTGGAGTGGAACTGGACTAGAACTAGGCTATTGTCTCAAGTGGGACGAAGACTCTAGAATAGATCAGTGAGCTTTGTACCTAAGGCAATTTCATGTTATGCTCTATTGCTCTCCACCAGATGGATTTCTTTCTTTCTTCCCCCACACCCCAGTAATCTTTTCCATCTCATCTATTCCCTTTTCTTTTTCTCTTCCTTACAGTTTTTATATCTGTGAACCTAGATTAATCAGTAGATTTAAAGAAGTAGTGGGATTTAAAGAAACTGCTGATCCTTGATCCTTTTTAAAAATCTGTCAACACCTCCCATCTTTTCCTTGTATGCTGCCTTCCTGTTCCTGTTCCACCTTTCCATGTTGTCCTTCACTTCATGGCCAGGCTTTAGCCCTGCCAGTAGTGGCCAGAGACATGAATTAACTCTGTTTGAGTCACTTAGGAATAAAAAGATTATTACTGACCTCAATTCTAGAATAAAAATACTGTGGTTTTTCTCTCCCACACTATAATTTTACTAAAACATTACATAGTTCCAGAGTTAATCAGGATACTCTGTGAAATTAAACCTTAATTGTGATTTGGCTACTTCCTTCTTAGGGAAAATTAAAAGAGAAATATTAGAAAATGATAATTTCAGGCTGGATGCAGTGGCTTATGCCTATAATCCCAACACTTTGGGATGACAAGGTGGGAAGATTGCTTGAAGCCAAAGGTTTGAGACCAGCCTGGGCAACATACTGAGACCCTGTCTCTAAAAATAAAAGTAAAAAAATTAGCCGGGTGTTGTGGTGTGCCCCTGTAGTTCCAGCTACTTGAAGGCTGAGGTGGGAGGATCACTTGAGCCCAGGAGGTTGAGGCTGCAGTGAACCATGATTGCGCCATTACACTCCAGCCTAGGTGACAGAGTGAGACCCTGTCTCTGAAAAAGAAAAAAGAAAATGATAATTTCATCAGAACTTGTTTGAAAGAGAAACATTAGTTTCTTGAACAAAATTAGGAGTGCACATTTGAGGGAATTTTGGTTATTTCTACTGCAACTGAGGAAACAGGTATATTACTATGTTTGATTTGTAATTAACAAGGCCTCATATCACTTTTTTCCCCTGCTTCAGGGAACAGAATATTTCTTAAGTTTGACATTTCCTCTCTTGATGTTCCCTTTGGAAAACATAAAATATAAATAGTGATTAAGGTCTTTCCAGATAACGTCCTGTACCAAAGTGTAGAAAGAACATACATAATGTCCCACACGAAAGCGTAGAAAGAACATAACATGACATCATAATGTAAAGTAATATATGATGATATTTTTATCTCAGGGCTATATTATATCCAGCTGATAAGTTTTATTTGTATGTTTGTTTGTAATTGAAAAAGTATGTAGTTTTTTAGTCATGGAGCATATCAAACTTAACTGAGCATCTCTCTGATACTTAAAAATACTGCTAGCATTATGAGATGCTTCCACTGAAGTGAAAGCTAAGATGTACTTAGGAGTTGTCAAGCTTTACACTAGAGCCTATACGAAGTTTTGATTCTAAATGTTACTGTACCTTCTGACAACTGTGAATGAATGAACCTGGTTCTTGGGGAGCCTGTTCTGGTTTTCTCTTTGCACAGTTAAGCTGGGACTAGCATCATTCTAGTTTGCAGGCAACATTCTCTGGGAAGCTGGTCTACGGGGGAGCTGACATCTTCTGAACCTAGTCCCCACAGAGAACTTCGAATGAGTGGAATCAAGAGGTTATGTGCATTCTTGCTCATGTCATAATGCTGGACATGTGACTTCAGAGAAGCATGTGCCAGGTCAATATGATTGAGCTGTTCCCACAATACAAAGCCTTGACCATAGATTGATTCAGAGGCAAATGCAGCCTTCTTAGACTCTTAACTGAAATATTGGTGTGACATAGAATTATAATAAAAGATATAAGATTATTTCAAAAGTACTGTTTTACTGGGATATCTCAAAGGACTAAGAAAATCTTTATTTTCTTATCTCCTATCTTTTAATAGTTATTCATCGCTCATTCAGCCTTTACTGAAAGCTTATCATGTATCAAACAATATGCCAGGTGTCAGAGAGGGCAGCAAAGAGAGTACAATTGAGTTAGACAGAGTACCTGCACTCAATAATAATAACAGCTAACACTTATGTAGTGCTTTCTGTGTGCCAGGCTTGTCCTAAGTGATTTTACACGCATACACCCTCATTCAATCCTTATAAAAACCCAATGAGAGGCCGGGTGTGGTGGTTCATGCCTGTAATCCCAGCAACTTTGGGAGGGTAAGGCGAGCAGATCACTTGAGGTCAGAGTTCGAGATCACCCTGGCCAACATGGTGAAACCCCATCTCTACTAAAAATATAAAAATTAACCGGGCATTGTGGCAGGTGCCTGTAATCCTAGCTACTCAAGAGGCTGAGACAGGGAAATCGCTTGAACCTGGTAGGTGGATGTTGCAGCTTGCTGAGATCGTGCTACTACACTCCAGCCTGAGCAACAGAGTGAGACTCCATCTCAAAAAAAAAAAAAAAAAAAATTAAAAACCCAAAGAGATGGCTACTATTATCATCTCCATTTTACAGATGAGGACCTGGGTACATAGAGATTAAGTAACTTGCCAAAGATCTCACAACTGGTAAGTGGCAGAGCAAAATTTGAAAACAAACAATCTTGTTCCAGAAACTGTACTTTTAACTTCATGATAAATAGCTTCCTGAGGAATTTATGATCTGAGTATACATAGTAAGTACCTCCCCTTTAAGGGTAAGGCAGTAGGTAGTGGTGAATAGGGAACCAAAAGGTGACTCAGGTTGAGTTAAACAACACCAGGCATATCTGACTCAAGGAATGCTTCAGAGGCTGGGGGTGCACACCTGTAATCCCAGCACTTTGGGAGGCTGAGGCAGGAGGATCACTGGAGCCCAAGTTCAAGACCAGCCTGGACAACATGACGAAACCCTCTCTTTACAAAAAATACCAAAATTAGCTGGGCGTTGTGGCACATGCCTGTAGTTCCAGCTACTCGGGAGGCTGAGAGGTAGGAGAATCACTTGGACCTGGGAGGTTGAGGCTGCAGTGAGCTGTGATTGTGCCACTGCACTCCATCCTAGGCAATAGAGTGGGACTCTGTCTCAAAAAAAGAAAAAGAGAAAAAAAGGAATGCTTCAGTCTGCTCCAAAGAAAAGAATGGAGTAATGTGAAGTGTTAAATGTAGCAAGAGGCCACTGCAGTAGCTCACACCTGTAATCCCAGCACTTTGGGAGGCTGAGACGGGAGGATCACTTGAGCCCAGGAGTTCGAGACCAGCCTGGGCAACTTAGTGAGACCCTGTCTCTTAAAAAAATAATAAAAAGTAAATAAAAATAAATGTAGCAAGAAATTGGAAATCTTTATCAACAGATAGCAATCTAGTTTAATGTTATGTGCATGGCCACAATCCTTATTCCACTGTATCCTCCTTTCACATATATATTATGAAGGTTAATGAATACAATAATTCTGATAACATTTCTTTTCTCCCTTTCTCCCTCCTCTGGTAGAGTACTCACATAAAGGCTGCATTCACAGTTGAGGTTAGAACTTGTCTAGGCATGTCTGGCGAGCTGATGGGAGGAGTCTGCCAGGAGAGTATGTTCAGAATACTGGAAACCTTAGGGAGAAAACTCCTCCTGAAGGTAGAAAATTGCAGAAATTATAATATAGCCTCAGCTGCTATCAGAGAACGATGGCTTTAGTGCTTTTGGTAGAGAAGCAGTGTAGCAGCAAATTTTAAGAGATATATGAGAGGTATTTAAGTAGATCATGCCTGTAGGTCATTTAGCAGTAGTATACAATTAATAAATATTCATTATTACTTGTGTGACAGTGCTCACCCCACACTGTCCTTATAGAAACATATTTGCATATCCTTTGCCCACTTTTTGATGGGGTTGTTTGTTTTTTTCTTGTAAATTTGTTTGAGTTTTTTGTAGGTTCTGGATATTAGCCCTTTGTCAGATGAGTAGATTGCAAAAATTTTCTCCCATTCTCTAGGTTGCCTGTTCACTCTGATGGTAGTTTCTTTTGCTGTGCAGAAGATTTTTAGTTTAATTAGATCCCATTTGTCAATTTTGGCTTTTGCTGCTGTTGCTTTTGGTGTTTTAGACATGAAGTCTTTGCCCATGCCTATGTCCTGAATGGTACTACCTAGGTTTTCCTCTAGGGTTTTTATGGTATTAGGTCTAACATTTAAGTCTCTAATCCATCTTGAATTAATTTTTGTATAAGGAGTAAGGAAAGGATCCAGTTTCACCTTTCTACTTATGGCTAGCCAATTTTCCCAGCACCATTTATTAAATAGGGAATCCTTTCCCCATTTCTTGTTTTTCTCAGGTTTGTCAAAGATCAGATGGCTGTAGATGTGTGGTATTATTTCTGAGGACTCTGTTCTGTTCCATTGGTCTATATCTCTATTTTGGTACCAGTACCATGCTGTTTTGGTTACTGTGGCCTTGTAGTATAGTTTGAAGTCAGGTAGCGTGATGCCTCCAGCTTTGTTCTTTTGACTTAGGATTGTCTTGGAGATGTGGGCTCTTTTTTGGTTCCATATGAACTTTAAAGCAGTTTTTTCCAATTCTGTGAAGAAACTCATTGGTAGCTTGATGTGGATGGCATTGAATCTATAAATAACTTTGGGCAGTATGGCCATTTTCACGATATTGATTCTTCCTACCCATGAGCATGGTATGTTCTCCCATTTGTTTGTGTCCTCTTTTATTTCACTGAGCAGTGGTTTGTAGTTGTCCTTGAAGAGGTCCTTTACATCCCTTGTAAGTTGGATTCCTAGGTATTTTATTCTCTTTGAAGCAATTGTGAATGGAAGTTCATTCATGATTTGGCTCTTTGTTTGTCTGTTACTGGCGTATAAGAATGCTTGTGATTTTTGCACATTAATTTTGTATCCTGAGACTTTACTGAAGTTGCTTATCAGCTTAAGGAGTTTTTGGGTTGAGACAATGGGGTTTTCTAAATATACAATCATGTCATCTGCAGAGAGGGACAATTTGACTTCTTCTTTTCCTAACTGAATCCCCTTGATTTCTTTCTCTTGCCTGATTGCCCTAGCCGGAACTTCCAACACATTCATACAGCCAACAGATACATGAAAAAATGCTCATCATCACTGGCCATCAGAGAAATGCAAATCAAAACCACAATGAGATACCATCTCACACCAGTTAGAATGGCAATCATTAAAAAGTCAGGAAACAACAGGTGCTGGAGAGGATGTGGAGAAACAGGAACACTTTTACACTGTTGGTGGGATTGTAAACTAGTTCAACCATTATGGAAAACAGTATGGCGATTCCTCAAGGATCTAGAACTAGAAGTACCATATGACCCAGCCATCCCATTACTGGGTATATACCCAAAGGATTATAAATCATGCTGCTATAAAGACACATACACACGTATGTTTATTGTGGCACTATCCA